TTCTTGTCTCTTGCAGTTTCTGGTGGCTGCCAGCATTCCTTGGCTGTGGCTTCGTCACTACATCTTTAAGATCAGCATTTTCAAATTTCTTTCTGTTTCATCTCCACAGTGCCTTCTCTTCTGTGTAAGCAAAATCGCCCTCTGCCACTCTCATAAGGATGCATGTGATTGCAGTTAAGGCCCACACATAATCCAGGATTATCTCCCCATCTCAAAATCCTTAATCTCATCTACAAAGACCCTTTTCCCAAACATCATCATATTTATAGGTTCCAGGGAGGACAACCTGATGTCTTTGGGAGCCATTACTCAGCTTAGTATTGCCAAAACAACAGAGCAGGCAGCAGTGATTGCAGCAAGTCTCACACGTCTCTACTTGCTGCAAACATCTGTGTTATTTCTGCATAATGCCTGCAGTTACATAGGTGGTATTATTGCAATATACAGCACATGTACTCAAACATTTTAGATTCAAATTAAAATCTGAGCTGCACAACAGCCTCCAGAATGGAATGACTGTGTAACTTGGGGAATGTCTACATTATCCATTATGTGGGGGCAGGAGGGAGGGGCTAACGCCTAGTCTCTCCTGTGTAATTGGCCTTAGCTCTGCCAATTACTCTATCCTTATTATCAAACACAATCTATGGGAGGAAACCCAAGAGGGAATTAGCTTATGTGGGAGAGGCTACTTTGGGTAATAGGAATGTACCCTGCAGCTTTTCATTCAGTTTAGGTTCACTGATGGGTCAAGATGGGTATTGGCAGAAAATTTGGAACTGGACCCTTGGGTTTATTACCATTTTCTTTACCACTCTAATGCTGTGCACCATCCCCTATGCTCCTTGAGTTTCTAGGTTAGAAACACTTCTTGAGGTGGGGCCGGCCCTACACATGGTTTATTTCTGCTTCTTGCCTACAGACTGGGCATCAAGTCTGCTGGGAACCCATCCTACAGGACCCTCCTAAGGTAGAGAACTCCATCTCCACAGGGTTGAGTTAAATTTTCACACATATGAACAGATGGAATTAGTCATATTTGAGCAGTTTTCAAAATTATGCTTTCATGCATTTGAACACTGTCATCTCTTGATTTATTCTCCGGTAATATTAATAAATCTTAAATTCTTAGGACAATGCAGGGCTGAGATTGGGTTAAGGCAAGTGACACACTTGCCTTGGATGTAAAATTTAAGGGGGTGCCAAAAAACTCAGTAATGAAAACAACATTTTAACGCAGTATATTAAAAATATCAAATCAAAATCAAAGCAGCAAACCACGGCTCACAGGTTGACTATTTCTGTAAATGAAATTTTATTAGAACCAGTGAGACAGCCAGCGGGGAGAAGGTCCCTGGAAAAACTCCAACTGGCCTGTGCACTGGGGTGGAGCCGCAGCAGTTTGTGCCACTTGCAGCGAGGAAGAGCCTGGGCCCTCCTCTTCCTGTGTGGAACCTGGGATTTGAGCTGCGGGCTGGAGGCGCGCTAGATGAATTCTGGCCTTGCTCAGAGCCCCTGTTTCCCCTCTTTTTTCCTTTTCACCCAATAAAGCCCCGCCTTCAAACCATCTGCGAGCTTGAATTTTCATGGCTGTGGGATGGACAAGGACCCCATCTTTAACTGAACTTTAGGAAAATTCCTGCAACACCAGGTCCAGGATAAGGGTGGGCCAAGTGTGGCATAGTCATGCAAGTGTTAGTTGGATCTTGTCTTTAAAATACTGATATTTTGTTCATTAAGAAATGTGTGCATTATGTGATTTTAATAATTTTAAAATAACTTTAATTTTTAAACTAAATTCTTAAAAATTAAAAAAATACTTTTTTTTCAATACAATTATTACGGTTTGATATGGAGCAAAAGTGTTTCACATATTTTTTCCCAATCTGTCACAGAGAATGTTAAAAAGACATACTCAAGAATCACAATTTTAAGAAATTCATAATTTTTACTGCCTCATCAAGGATATTGTTGGGTGAAATAGACATTTTGCTTTACTGTGAGTAGACAATGGCCAACAGTTTTATCTGCTGTTACTTTTTTACCATCAATGCAAATGTCAAAGCAGTGAAAAGGCAAATAACATCTTAGAATTAGAATGAAAACGATTTTAACCCGAAAGACCCCTTGAAAGGGTCTTAGGAGACCCCAAGGACTATGGGCCAGATTGTGAATTGCTGCCTTAAAGGTTAAAGCTTTCACAATATATCAAAAGCGTTGTCAGTCACAAGATAAGATCCACAGTCAGATGGGAGCAACATAATTATAACTAATCTCAAAATTAATTTTGGAAAAATCAGTGAAGAGTTGAGCAAATTGACTATCATATAAATAGTTTTGAGCAATCAGGAAATCTTTGAGGCTAAAGATAAGATGTGAAAGAATCTGAATGCCATGGATATAATCCATGACCTGAAGGCATGGCCATTTTAGGGCAGCAAAGTGGAGAAAGAGCACCCCATCCATCACTTACCTTCCATTCCTTGCCCCCACTGCCTCCTGGGTAATGAGGGAGCAGAGAGTACTAGAGCAGCAGCAGCAGCAGGAAGAGTGAGGCAAACGAAAGGAGAGCACAGGGCATCCGAAGGCTGCTCCAAGACCTTGGGGCCGGTTGGCCTGGTGCGGAAGCTCTCCTGCCATTTCCTAGCACACAACCTTGGTTGAATTCCCAAAGCACTGTCTGGCTGAGTCTCCTCCACCATAAGTAATGTGGATTAATATAAATACCTTCCTCATACAATTGTTGTAAGGAGTACACGAGATGATCTAGTTAAGGCACTGAGCACAGAAACTGAGACAATAAGTATGCAGTAAATGTATCATATTAAGCAGAAGGAACACACTTCTGTGCTCATTCACTGCCCAGTGTTCAGTAACTTTTCCCTACATGCATCAACGCTTAGCCCAGGGCCTTCTCAGAGTTAGGTGTTCAGGAAGGGAAGCCTGTCTGGGCCTGTCACTTCTTCTGTGCTGCACTGAGAGTCATGACTCAAACGACAATTCATGCAGAAATCTGATGTTTAGGCTGGGCACACTGGCTCACACTTGTAATCCCAGCACTTTGGAGGCCGAGGCAGGCGATCACCTGAGGTCAAGAGTTCGCGACCAAGCCTGGCCAACATGGCGAAACCCTGGTCTCATTAAAAATTACAAAAATCAGGCGGGCGTGGTGGTGTGGCTTGTAATCCCAAACTACTCGGGAGGCTGAACATGAGAATCACTTGAAAACCCAGGGGCAGAGGTTTCGCAGTGAGCTGAGATTGCTGCCACTGCACTTTGCACCTGGGCAACAGAGCAACACTTCCCTCTTCAAAAAAAAAAAAAAAAAAAAAGGAAATCTGATGCTTAAATATGAAAAAATAGACATAAACGTGCAAATTATTACATAAAAATATAAATGTTTGTAACAGAATTGTTTTATATTTTCTTAAAATCATTTTTATTGGTATTGAAAACACACTGAAAAACAAAGGAATCAGGCTTAAAAGTGACACTAGCAAAACATTTAACACACCAACAGAAAAATATACCAACCCTGCTTTTTGCTAGTAGGTCTCTGTGGTAGAGAGAATAATGCCTCCCATTCCACCCCAAGATGTCCACATCTTGATTTCCAGAACCTGTGAATGTGTTACTTTATATGGCAAAAGAACTTTACTGATGTGATTATGTTAAGGACCTTGAGATGGGGACATAATCCTGGTGAGTCCAGTGTAACCACAGAGGTCCTGAATGGAAGATAGAGGCAGATGTCAGGGAAAGATGTGACTTCAGAAGAAAGGCACAGAGAGATGCCACATTCCTGGCTTCAGAGACAGAGGAAGGGGCCATATGCCAAGGAATGTTGACAGACTCTGAAAGCTGGAAAGGGCCAGGAAACAGACTCTCCCCTAGAGCCTCCAGAAAGGAACGCAGCCCTGCCAACACCTTGATTTTGGCCCAGTGACACCCATGACGGACTTCTGAAATACAGAATAATAAGATGATAAACTCATGTTGTTTAAGCCACTACACTTGTGGTGACTTGTTACAGCAGCAAACAGAAAACTAATACAGTCCCAAAGCTTATCCAAATCACCTGTGGCATACTTCAGTGCACAACAAAGAAGTAGCTAGGTCACCAGGGTGGGGACTAACAACTCCTACAGCTTTACTAAGCTCCCCAGTGCAGCTTTTGGCCATTGAAATGCCACAAAATAAGAGATTTCTCATATACAACCACCCCTACCCATAAGGATTAGGATTCAAGAGTTCTGAAGTGTGAGAATATCCATGTTTAACAAATCCTGTTGGTGACATGCTTAGACATGGTCAGTGGTCCACACGTTCACACACATTCATTTCTCTTTTTTTATTTTTTGGAGACAGAGTCTCGCTCTGTCACCCAGGCTGGAGTGCAGTGGTGCGATCTCAGCTCACTGCAACCTCTGCTCTCAGGTTCAGCAATTCTCGTGCCTCAGCCTCCTGAGTAGCTGGGATTACAGAAGTGCGTGACCATGCCCAGCTAATTTTTGTACTTTTAGTAGAGACCGGGTTTCTCCATGTTAGCCAGGTGGGTCTCAAACTCCTGACCTCAAGTGAGCCATCCATCTCGGCCTCTCAAAGTGATGAAATTATAGGCGTGAGCCACCACACCCAGCAGAAACATTCATCTCTATATGTAAGGTGCTTACAATTTAGGGGCTGAGTAAATATAATTCCAATCCCTAACAGAAAAATATATATGCATTATTTTAAAGACAAGTCAACAGCCAGGGACAAGAGTAAAGGTCTAGAAATGTCCTAGAACACATAAATTCTTTTGTATGCTTATGTCAACAAAAACAAGATACAGAATTAAACCAGATGAGAACTCCGTCTGCTCTCCCGTGTGCGACTGGTGCTTCAGGGGCAGGGGGCAGGTGGCAGGTGAAATGGAATCCTGGCAGCCCTACAGACCTCTCACTGAAAAGCATCCCTGCTGAGCGCATAACCAAGCCGGGCCCTTCCTACCTCCTCACCTGTCTCAGCTGTTTCCTGATGAGGTGGAGATGTGCTGGCCCAGGGCGTGTCGTCTTCAAACTGAACCCAGCTGCTGATGGCTGAGGCCAGGTCAGGTGGGGGCTGCTCAGGGCTCCCAGGTGGGGAAGCTGCTTCAGAGATGAGGCCCATCTTTTCAGAGGAGTCATCCTGCTCCGAGTGGGAATGGTCTTGAGAGCCTCCATCCACCACATGGTTCTCCCCAGAGGAGCTCTCAGACTGGTCTGGGGAAGATGACAGTCCTGGGAGGTGCTCTTCCGTGCCCCCTGAAACAGATACCAGATGCCACCATCATGTGAGGAAGGCCGCTCTTCAGAGCCATCTCATGGAGGCAAAAACTAAAGATGGCCATAGGGTGCCAGCATGACTTGCCACTGCAGTGAGTGGGGAGAAGAAAGAACCACACCCATCTGACTCTATGTGAAACGACTGTTTCCCCAGTCATGTGTAAACGCTGTAAGCTCAGCATGTCTCCAGTCAGTACCCTGGCAGGCAGAGACTAGCAGCCTTCTTCACTATTCTTATCCCAGCATCTACTCCAGTGCTTGAGGGTCACAAAGGAAAGTGCTTACAGAGGTCAAGTAAGAAATATACCTGCATCAAGTGGGACAAGTGAAAGGCAAAAGGGACTGGTGGAGACTGTGGCTAAACAGGAGCACTTTTGTCAGAAGACATTCAAATTCAAATTTCAAACTCTTTGCAGTCTACGCTATACACAGCCACAGGACACCAGGTGCAAACCCGTGTGCACTAATGACTAGCTGAATGTAACCTAGAGGCTATTCCTGTAGCCCTGTATCACTTGATTGGCCCTACAAAATTTAACAGACTTCAAATTTTTTTTTTGAAAATTAAAAAAACTGGCCAGGTGTGGTGGCTCAAACCTGTAATCCCAACACTTTGCGAAGCCGAAGTGAGTGGATCACCTGAGGTCAGCGGTTCGAGACCAGCCTGACCAACATGGCAAAACCCCGTCTCTACTAAAAATACAAAATTAGCCGGGCGCGGTGGCACATGCCTGTAATTCCAGCTACTTGGGAAGTTGAGGCAGGAGAGTCACTTGAACCCGGGAGGCAGAGGTTGCAGTGAGCCGAGATTGCGCTACTGGACTCCAGCCTGGGCAACAAGAGCGAAACTCCGTCTCAAAACAACAACAACAAAAAAAACTATATCCTGATTATGGTGGTAGATATACAAATCTATACATATGCTGAAATTCATCAGCTGTACAACAAAAGAAGTCAATTTTTCTTTAGAAATTTTTTAATCAAATAATTAATATAAAAATCTTTTCTCCCATCACTAGCCAACTGGTCCATCTGCAAGTACTCAAAGCCTCTACAGCTCTGTCAAACAGAAATAAAATGTGAGCTATATATGTAATTTTAAATTTTCTAGTAGCCACATGAAAAAAATTAACCACAACAGGAGAAAGTATTTTAATATACCTTTCAACCCAATATGTTGAAAATTTGTAATTTCAACATGTAATAAATATAAAATTAATTAGCTATTTAATTTTTTTCTTAAACTAGGTCTTTGAAATTTAGTGTAGGTATTTGATGCTTACAGCACATCCCAATTCAGACCTGTCACATTTCAGGAGCTCAATAATCACATGGCCACCATATTGGAGAGCATACCTGTTGACTCACACTTCCTAGGTGTTATAAATGAAGGTGGGATGACTTCAGTAGGCACTGGTAGCTGCAGTAGAACAGAATCAACTGACATGTCTCTGCAAATATCTCCTGGATCCTACCTTAACCTTCATCCCTGAGCACAAGTTCTCTAAAGTCAATACAGTCATCCTCCTTATGATCAAGTATGACTGTACTGAGCTCTTTCCACATGCCAGGCACTGCTCTAAGCACTTTTATGTATGAATTCACTTAAGCCTCACAACAACCTGTGAGATAGGTACTGATTATTCCTACTGTACAGATAATGAAACTATGCTTGGAGAGGTTAAATAAATAATCTACCCAAAAGTATATCATTCATTCCTGGTGCAACAGGGCTTTGAACCCAAGCACTCCGGTTCCAGAGCTGTCATTTTTAACAGCTACTTTTAACAACTACATTTTAAAAAGGCTGAAAGTAAAGCACTTGGTAAATATTAGGTTTTTGTTTCTTGGGAGAAAAGAGCCAATACTTTTGGTGTTTCCAAGCTTCTTTTTAGGGCCCTAAAGTTCCAAGACGCTTCTTCAGTGTGTAAATTCTTCCACTTAGGATTCTAAGATCTCAAGAAAGAAAGTAAGAAACTGACTCTTTTTTCTATATTAAGATCCCACCCAAAGAATAATCCAGTAGAAGCCATAACAAATAGACATGGCTGTTTGACAATCTCTTTGCTTCAGGAAATGAAGGCACTCCTTACCCTGCGAGTGGGCAGGAAAGGGTGGCTCTTCATTGAAGGAGACCCATTCTGACTGGTGGGTGGCAATCACATGGTTCAAAGTCGTCATGCTAAAAAGGCACTGGTCATCTTCACACTGCTGACCTCAGGTGAACCCCAGAATACTGTCTGGGGTGGGCTGGGGTAGGGGTACGGCAGTACGGTGGACTTGGGTCCGGGGTCTGTTCTAGGTGTCTTGCCGAGGGCAGTACTCAGAATGTAGACAGATCAGCCCCTCTTGCCGTTGGTTAATCTGCCAGGCAGAAATCTGTTTAACAAACAAACAAACAAAAAATGTAAAAGGATAACCATCACGTTATACTGAATCCACATAGGTCTAGGGCTTTTAGCGCTGCCCACAAGGCGGCCTGGGGTGGTTTCCAACTTGCCTTACTTCACTCTGTTCCTGTCATGCCCTCAACTTTTATATTGAAATGTCTGTCTTTAGCATCAAGGTTTCTAGGTAAGTCTTCATATCACACTTGTAAATAATTACACAAATTTCAGCAATTAGATTCTCTAATTTCCCTAATTATTGTATTTTAGAAATATTGTTATCTATAATACTATCATTGCAAAACAAATATTAAAACTTTTCAAAACGCTTTCACTTTCTTTTACCAGCTGGCAAAATAAAAGCATGTTCTTTTTCTATTAAATTAGTCCAGTCTCTTGCCTTAGGCAGGTAACTCTTTGTAAGTCTGATTTAAATCTTTGGCAGAAATGGTACCTCCAAGCATCATTTATCAATCAAGAAAAATAGAAATGAAGTGATCTTATTCATTTGTAGTAAGAGGATAGGGAATATCTGTTCTAGTGAAAAATGTGAGTTAGAGAAACATTTTCAATCTAGGCCTATTTAAATTAGTTACAATGGTCTAGCCTTTGCTCACACCACAATTATCTTCCAGGAATATAGAAAGATTCTTAACTGACATAATTTTGTTTATGATAATAACATCTTCTTACAACTTGAACCTAGTTCTTGATCTAATAATGAATTAATAAAATCTGAATTTATCCAAAACGAATGTGCTTCCACAAAAGAGCTACTATATACCTTGAATATCAGTTCTTATTAACTGAATATACACAATATTCAGATAGTTTCTAGAACAACTTAACTCACAGCCTTCCAACTGGTGCACAATGAAAACTTTAGGAAATTTTACTATAGGTTATCATCTGCAGTAAATAATCTCTACGTGGGAAAATCAGTAGAAACATTAATAGCTTTTGCTTTTTTGTTATTTAAAATAATTAGTTTTGGCACACGATGCTTTCTAAAAACCACTAATGTTTATATAGAATTTATAATTTTCAGAAACACATCTTCATACCATACTTCACTTGATTCAATAGCCATTTTGTTGAGTAGGACACGTAGTACTCTAATTCTTCTATGGATAAAAAAATTTGGGCTGAGAAAAATTAAGTGACTTACCTAACACTTTTAGTGTTTCCAGGCCCTTTTGGTACTCTAAAGTTCTTAAAATGCTTCCTCTAGGCTCCTAAGTGGAAGAGCTTACAAATCTCAGCACAGTGGCTAACTGACTTTTTTTCATAATAAGGTCTCACCCAAAGAATAATCAAGTTGAATCCATGTGTGTTCGATGTTCCCTGTGTAAGGTCACTCCTATCACTCCAAGAAGTGATAGATCCAACCCTTGAGTCCAGGTCTTCTGCAGCCAAAACACTCTAATCCTGGGGTCACAGCCACAAAAAAGTAAAACAGAATACAGTATCCATAGGCTATCACCCAACTTAAGTACTTTACAAATATCAATTACAATGGAACTGTAATGAAATGTCTGGGAAACTCCCCGTGTGAAAGTTTGCCAGCACACCCCAAGCTATATAAAGGATGGAAAGCCCAGAAGCCTCTTCTCCAAGTCCCTCTCCTAAGATCCTTGCCAACCACAAGGCCAGACATACGCAGACAGCCTGGAGAGAGCAGGTCTCCCAAACCAGATCTTACCAGAGAGCAGCACAGGGTCCACAAGCACGAAGAGCTGATTCCCACTGGCTGCTGCCTATGATGCCTTTCTCAAGCCCTGTCAAATGTGTGTCAATGTGGTAATGGCTGCGGGCCAAGATAAGGCAGTAAAATTGAAGAGTCAGATTCCTCCTCTTTCAACGACAGCAGCATGTAAACCAGCCCCACTGCAGACTCAAAAAACACACACACACACACACACACACACACACATACACACACAAAACAAGTCCCTATGCTGACACATGCAGTGTCATCACTCAACAGGGAAAACATCCTGCCGATCCTGTGATGACGAACCCAGCAAACGTCATGGATAAGTGGGGTAGGGAAGCAAATAGGGGAGGAAGGTGAAGGTAACGGGAAAATATTTAAAAATTTTAAACTGGAAGGTTTTAAAGATCAACAACTTCAGGTGTTATGAGAAAATTGAGGCCCAAGGAAATCAGGTGCACCAACAGAGATTGTGATCATGGGCCCAGAGTTAGGTTGTTTGGATTTGAGTCCTATACAGTCTTGGAGTCCTTTACAGCCTTGGACTCATAACTCAACCTCTTTAAGCTTCAGTATACCCTTGTACAGCAAGAATTTAAAAACTCACTCCATAATTCTGAGGATTAAATAAGATAATGTACGCCAAGTACTCAGGACTGGATGTAATAAACCCTCTGTACCAATGACAATGAAAACAGTAGGTGACCTTACAGAGGGCTTACTGGGCCCCAGGCTCCATTCCAAACCCTTTATGAATGTTAGCTACCGCCAGCACTGCTGCTGTTGTTAAATGACTCGCCCAAGGTTGCATAACTTGTTCGTAGAAGTCCTGGGACTAGAATGCAGATTTCATGAAACCACTCCATTTCTGTCATGTGCAGATTCTGGTTTCCGTCATTGTTCAAGAAGTTCTAGATACTAAGTCGAGTCACTTGCTCAGCTACAGTGCCCAGAAGGCAGATTCTAAATCCTCTTCATTATAGATATAGGTGCACTCTGGCCAAGGAACCAAGACCATTCCTCAGAATGTATGAACGAAAAAAGAGCCCCAAAACTTTACCTGTCTTTCCTTCACATGTCCCAGACCAGACATGGGCTGGTGACAGACAATGACTGGTCCTAATGAAGACTGGTGGAAAAAATTGATCACATGGAACCCCCTATCATATTCTATACTATAAATCCATAAAATGGATTTTAGGTATTTGCCATAGAAGAGCCACACCAATAAGCCATAAGAAATTAGACCTTAAAAAGTGCTGTGCTAGCAGCTGGAAACCCACAGAAGAACACAATAATTGTGAGGTTAAGTTCATACTGGAATTAGTTTCTTGGTAAAAACCTCACCCCATTTTTAGAATGTGAATCATAAAATGAGGTTTAGAATCACCACAAATGAGTGGTGACTCAGTATCAGCAGGAGGATTGACCAACAGATGTTAAAAGTTTCAATGAAGTCTTGGAGTTGCCATTTCAGAGAGCTACTTCTTTCTCAGCATTGCTTATATACAAAAATTTGTAGAAGGGAGAATGCAATTGTCTGATAAGATGGGGGTCACAGAAGTAGTTTTGTCTTATGACAGTCCTCTAATTGCTTTTGTGAGACCTACATGTCTGGAAATGTACCAGTTACCCTTGAGACAGCAACCCTCAAGCAGCTCCCAACACAGCTGAGGAAAAAAGGATCCAGAGAACAGAAAATACAAGTCCAGAATAACTGCCCCAGCTAAAGCACATGCTGGGAGTGCCACAATTTAGCTGTAAGGAGATCTCTGAGAGCTGGAACCATATGGGACTGGGTGGGTTTCTGAGATCTGAAGGATGTCCTTGATTCTGGACCAACAGAGGGATCAGCGAGGGAAGCCTCTGGACAGGGGATCACCATGACAGTAAGAATCAGAAGCAGACCTTAACGAGGTGTGTTTCTGTCTGAACAAGCCTCTGTCTGATGACAGCAGAGGTATCTACTGGGGGAATATGGAGTGAAAGGATTGATTGACCATAGAAGCTAAGAAGAGTTCAAGGGGAAATGAGAAGCTGTGGGAGGTTTAAAAGCAGAGAGTGACTCAAGAAGTGTGCTTAAGGGAGATTAGCCTTCCTCAGACAGTGCTGGACAGGAGCGTGGTGATGGAATTTTTCAGCCATCAGTACCTCTGGTGTGTTACACAAAGCTGGGGGCAAGAGTCTTCAGGAACATGTACTGTTTCTGCCCATTCTAGGGCCTGAGGGTGCAAGGAAGAACAAAACAGCATCTCTGTCCTCAAGCAGCTATCAACTGCAGGGAGATACGACAGCAACCTAAAACAATAACCTCTGCTCTCTATCCTATGCTGGCAGTTAGTCACCGAAGGTAGGACAGCAGCAAGTAAGAGTGTTAAGAGACTTCTGAGAGCTTGAGCTATATAGGTGGTCTTGAACTGTACCCTAAGCTGGAAAGGAGGGGTCTGAGCAAAAGAGCTGTGGGGCACAGGCATTTAGGAAGGGGGAGCAGGAATGGCACATCTAGCCCACAGTGAGTTACACTCTGCTCATCTGAAGAGGGTGTCAAGTGCCCTGGAAAAGGAGCTCTAAGTTTCAGAACGAGTTTGAGCTCTGGAGCCTACCCTCTCCATTCCCACTGCCAATGCCTTAGCTCAGCCCCTCATCATCTCTCACGCAGACAGTTACAAGTCTCCTACCTGTCTTCCTGCCCTCAGTATCACCTGCTCCAACCTACTATCCAACCTGTCATGCTGGAGTGATCTTCCAAAAAACCTGAAAATGGCTATGCCACAGCTCTGCTTCCAGCTCCTCAAAGGCTCCTCACAGGATAAAGTGAGGTATGAGAAATGAACAAAGGATTCCTGAGAGCAGGGGTTGCATGCTATGCCCTCAGCATTGAGCACAGTGCCTGGCACATGTTAGAAGCTCAATAAAAATTGTTGTATAAATGCAGGCACTTTGTGAATCCGGCCCTGATCCACCTCTCTAATCTCATGTGTCATTCTCTCCCCTTGTGAACCCTATATTCCTGATGAACTGAGTTATTTGAAAGACTGTGTTTTTGAATATACTTTGTCCTATTTGATCACTTGTTCATATATTAATTTAATACATAATTAAATATTATCTTTAGGATACATTTTCCCTACATTTTTATTTCATGAGCTCCTGCTCACCTTCAAGTCTTAGCTCAATCATTATCTCAGGCTTGGTTCAACAAGCATTTATGCCAAGTGGCAATCACTGAATGCAAAGATAAAGAACACAAATTATTTTGCTATAAAACCTTTATAATGTGCATGCTCATTGTTTTTTGTCTGCTCAATACCCAAAATCCTTTCTTTTTTGAGAAAAAAATATTATCTTTCCATCCCTCCTGGTAATTAATCCAGGCTTTGTCAACGGCTGCTAGAATATTGAGGGAATGCTAAAAGGTACAAGGGCCTTGAACACATGCAAGAATGGCATGGCATGCGAACAACAGAAACTTGATGCAAGCCCAGAAGCAGGCACAACCTAATTCCGTGAAAATGGTGACAAGTGTGGCATCCTAATCAGACCCATGGTGTGACTCTGGCTTTGTTCACTGCTGGCTAGGTCCTGTGGCTCCTACCTATTTTCCAAGCCACGTTTGACAGTCATCTGGCAATCCAATGAGCTCTTTTGTACCTTTCAATAGACTTCTTTCCTGCTTATATTAGCCAAAATTAATTTCTATTGCTTGCAATCAAGAACCCTGATCTATGGTGGTACTCCTCAACTTCCAGTAAGTACCATACTTCCCACTGGTCCTTTATCCCCCATATCTTCTGAATGCTGATACTATCTTAACCTACACTCATTTACCAAATTATAATGAAATTATTTGCTAATGTGGCTATATGAGGAAAGGGACTTGATCTTTTGCTTCTTGATGTCTTTAACTCTTAGAATAGGGTATGGCTCTTAGTAAATGTTTGTTGGGTAAACAGGTGAATGAACGAACGAATGAATGAATGAATGAATTTGCCTTAATATACAGTAGGTAGCCTCTTCAGCTCTTCTGAGATGTTGGTAAATGTTTTAGGAAGGTTAATTTAAACACTCTGTGTAAAAGAGCTTTGGAGGAAATCTGCATATAGGGAAATATGTTCATTTCCCCTTCCCTTTGATCTAAAATTATATCATCCAATTCCAATACAGTAGACACTAGACACAGGGGCTACTGATATGTGGCTAATCCGAATGAGTTGTTCACTTAAGTGTAAAATGTACACCAGATTTTGAAGAGTATAAAAATGTATAAAATATCTAATAATTTCATACTGCTTTCATGTTAAAATGGTATCTTGGATGTATTAGCTTAAGTAAAACATACTGTTAAAATTATTTTCACCTGACACTTTTAAGGTTTTAAAATGAAACTACTAAAAAATTTAAAATCATACATAAACAGCCCATGCTATATTTCTTCCTTTTTTAACGGAGACAGGATCTCACTCTTGCTCAGGCTGGAGTACCAGGGCACTATCACAGCTCACTACAGCCTCGACCTCTGCAGGCTCACATGATCCTCCCACCTCAGCCTCCTGAGTAGCTGGGTCTATAAGTGCACACCATCACACCAGTTAATTTTTTGAAATGTTTCCATACAGACAGGGTCTCACTATGTTGCCCAGGCTGGTCTCAAACTCCTGGGCTCAAGCAATCCACCCGCCTCAGCCTCCCAAAGTGCTGAGATTACAGGCACAAGTTACCACACCTGGCCTCATGGCATATCGACAGCATTGCTCTAAAGCAGTCCATCTTTTATTTCATCCTTGATTTTGAAGGCTACTTTTCACAAGACACAGAATTTTTCCTTCAGTATTTTGCCTTTTGGTCTGAATGTTTCTAAGGAGCAGTTGATTATATGTAATTATTCGTGCTTATATAATGTGTCTTTTTTCCTCTAATGGCTTTCAAGATTTTCTCTTTATCTTTCATTTTCAGCAACTGCATTTGGATGTAGTTTTCTGTGAACTCATTTTACTCAAAGTTAGTGGAGTTTCTTGAATCTGTTTGTCAGTTTTTTCATTAAATTTGGAAAAATTGAGTCAGTATTTCTCCAAATGTGTTTTTCTGCCCCTTTTCCATCTCTTCTGTTAGTCTGCCCTTGCGTTCACTGACTCTTTCTCTTCTCACTTCCATTCACCCATAAGCTTATCCTGTGAATTTTGTATCTTAGTTATTCAGCTTTTCCATTCTAGAATGTTCTTTTGTAGTTTCTATTTCTCTGCTGCGATGCCTTATATATTCACTCATTGTGACAATATTTTCCTTTAGTTCTTTCAACGTATTTATAATGGCTGCTTTAAAGACTTTGTCTGCTAAATCCAACCTTTGGACCATTTGGGATTAGTTACTATTGACGTTTTTGGTTTGTTGGGTTTTTTTGTTGTTGTTGTTGTTGTTGTTGTTTTATTTTTGCTTGACTATGGGTAATACTTTCCTAAGGTTTTTTGTTTGTTTGGCTTTTTTTTTTTTTTTTGCTTTCTTTCATTTTTCTGCACACCTAATAATTGTTGGTGATACACCAAAGACCTTCTGGATTTGACTTTCCTCTGCAGAGTACTGATTTTTGTTCCAGCAGGCAGTTTGACCAAGAGCTGCTCACCTAGAGCTTGTATAAAGCTTCGTCTTTTACTTCATTGGATTAATTTGTTTCCCAAGGCCCTCTAATTGCTGTAGGACTCAATTTCTAAACTCTGTCTCCCCTGCAGATCTTGACAGGGTATGATGGTTAATATTGAGTGTCCACTTCATTGGACTGAAGGATGCAAAGTATTGTTCCCAGATATGTCTTTAAGGCTGTTGCCAAAGGAGATTAACATTTGAGTCAGTGGACTGGGAGAGGCAGACCTACTCTCAATCTAGGTGGGCACCATCTAATCAGTTGCCAGTGTGGCCAGAATAAAGCAGACAAAAGCAAGTGGAATGACCAGACTTGCTGAGTCTTCTGACCTTCATCTTTCTGACCTTCATCTTTCTCCCATGCTGGATGCTTCCTGCCCTCAAACATCAGACTCTAAGTTCTTCAGCTTTTGGACTCTTGGACTTACACCAGTGCTTTGCCAGGGGCTCCTGGGCCCTTGGCCATGGATTGAAGGCTGCACTGTCGGCTTCCCTACTTTTGAGGTTTTGGGACTCAGAATGGATTCCTTCATCCTCAGCTCGAAGGATTGGATTCCTTCCTCCTCAGCTTGAAGACAGCCTCTTATGGGACTTCACGTTGTGATCAATACTCCTTAATAAACTCCCCTTCATATATAAATCTATCCTATTAATTCCGTCGCTTTAGAGAACCCTGACTAATACACAGGGCTTGGTTCTAGGCTTTGCTAGGGTAAGTTTAAAGTAAATCTTACTCTAGAGCATGGGCTGGCAAACTACAGCCACAGCCTAAGTCTGGCCCTCTGCCTTTTTTGGTAAATAAAGTTGTATTATTAGTATATTTACCAGCTACGCTCATTAGTTTACATATGGTCTATGGTTGCTTTTGATCTACAATAGCAGAGTTGAGTAGCTGTGACAGATACTGTATGGCTCGCAGGGACTAAAATAATTACTCGTCCATAATAACTACTGGCCCTTTATAGAAAAAAATGTACAGACCCTCCTTGAGAACATGGTCCTTATCCCTAACACACAGGCTTTCTATATCTTGGTTGGATGCTTGAGATGTTAATAAGACATTAATGAGCTCTTTCCACTGTAGCTGGGCTGGACCACCAATGTCCCCCACTACTGCCTGATGTCCAGTATCTTTGTCCCATTCTCAATCCTCCAGCAGCCACTCTGTTAAGCTCTGTATGGTTTCAGTATGCACCTGTGCACTCTAAACTGGCCAAGGGTTCTCTGGGTACACCCAGACATACTTCTGCTCCTCTCTCCCCATCCCCATGCTCTCTGCTCCCCAACTCTCTGCCTTCTGGTGCTCTGTCCTACAGATTCCAGCTGCTTCAATTGCCCCAAACTCTGATCTCTGTTTTCTTAGCTCAGCAGGACTGCTGTGCTTGGCTTAGACTCCAGCTGACTATGCTGCAGTCAGGAAACTCTTCACTGGAAAAGAGCCAAGGTGAGTGTCGGGCTCACCTCAGGATAGAGAATCTTGTGCTGCCTGTTGACCGAAGCCTGAAAATAGTTGCCTCATAGATGTTGTTGTTTTGTGGTTGTTCGCAGCAGAATGGCTAGTTACCAATTATAACCAGAACTGGAAGTCCTCCTCTGGAACATTACTTTCTGACTCGTGCTCACTTTTAAAAAGAGACTAGTTCAGACATCTAAAATACAGGTCATTTCATACTAATGTCCTGAAAATTAATTAGAAATTTTATAAATCATCTGAGAATAAAAGGAAGGGTTCACTCAGCCATATAGATTAATTCCATTGCTCTAGAGCTGGGAAAATGATTTGTTAGGTTAGCTATGCTATATAATACAAAAACATTACTTGTGCCTAGTTGGTGGTCCAAAAGGGGTTGTTAAATCTTTGGCCATCTTCCCTGTCTACCTGTTTTTCATAGGTATTCAGCTAGGCGGCATCTTTGAAAATCTCCACATCCACTTTTTGGGTTTGAGACTACTGGCAACCCCTGTCCAGGCATCTATTTGGAGTTTATGCAGAAACATCTTCAACTAGATCCTTGGTGTCCACTCCAAACCCACAAGTAAGGCCTCAGTTTTCTCTTAATCAAGGACAAGCAACTAAAGATCAAATCAAAAGCTACAAAGAAAGGAAGAATGGGAAAAACAGACTACATAAATTCTATATATTTCTTTACAGCGTTCTTCTAACACAAGATATTCAGCTACCTTATTGAGCATCTATCTACCATGCACTCAGAATTGTGCATAGCACAATGACACAAGATAATATCAAGCTTTTATACACTGATATCTGTGTCACAGTGGGCTACAGGAGCCATAGAAGCTGAATCAGAAAGCTGAAATAACCCTGCTGCTTGTTTCATAAGTTGCTAGATCAAAGAGAAGCCTGGAAGGCCCCATTACCCTGTGAGAAAGACTAAATCAGATTAAGGACTTGAACAGTGCTTCTCTTCCCTTTCCTTCTTTCACATTCTTTTCCTCGATAAGGGGCATGAATTCTCATTAAGAAAACCTGAACAGAGTTCACTGAAGAACACACACACACACACACACACACACACACACACACACTTAACAGGTACCTTGATGCTCCTAAAAGAGAAAATGAGTTGAGTGATCCTGGTTGTTTGCCCTTATTATTTCAACTTATGAAAAATTTCATTCTTTCATGTAAATATTTTATTTTTAAAAAACAAAAGGAAACCACCCAATCTTCTTCCAATTTCCATTGGAAACTGGGAAACAGAATGAACACCTCAGCCTCAAATCAAACATGTATGAGAAAGAAGTCCAAAAGGAACAAATGTCACATTGTGACCAGAGTTAGCATCTATCTATGATTCTCCATAAGTGAACTCCCTCTTCTTTTGTTTTATAATCACACACAGCATAATCTCTTAACCCTAGGTGCCTTCCCTTCTCTAAAGTCATATTACTTGTGTGTATGGGTGTGTGTATATGTGTGTATACATGCATACACATAAACATACACATTTATGTACATACATACATATATGTATATCCCAAGGTTATAATTACAAAATACTCTATTGTGTGATTTTCCTTCAAAATAATCAATCCCGATGGTTCTGCTATCTAACAATTCCATGGTCCTACATTCAGAGTCAAGAATCTAAGTTACACTTGGCTTGAAAAACTGGTTAGGCATTGCCTCTGATCTTTGGTGTATTCCTGAGGCAGTGACCTTGACTGACATCCCCAGGTACCTGAGCAGTGTATTACATTAGTGAATGGCTCTGGTAGGAGGTCAGGCTTTAAGGTTTGCAAAACATTTTCCAGTTCCTTGAATTCTCAGAAGATATTGACTTACTCCATCTTGGTACATTCATCTTGGTTTAACTCTACTTCATATTTTTTTGAAATGAGAATACTAATATTTTACCTGTGTGACAGTGGGGAGCTGATGTGGATAATTTCTTATCTATATTTTACAGCCACATATAAATTAGATGCATTTTACAATTAATCTAATTTCAGAGAAGATAAAATATTTTTTAAGGCTGGGTGCAGTGGCTCATGCCTGTAATCCCAGCACTTTGGAAGGCCAAGGAGGGTGGATCATTGAGGTCAGGATTTTCTGACCAGACTGGCCAACATGGTGAAACCTTGTCTCTACTAAAAATACGAAAATTAGCCAAGGGTGGTGGCATGCACCCATAATTCCAGCTACTCAGAGGCTGAGGCAAGAGAATCACTTGAACCCAGGAGGTGGAGGTTGCAGTGAGCCGAGATTGCGGTGCTGCACTCTAGCCTGGGCAACAGAGTGAGACTTCATCTCA